GAGCGGAGAATCAGTCCTTTGGCCCAGCACTCCTCTGTAATGCCCGCCACCTACCCGCCGGGACGAAGGTGCCACCGATGCACTTGTCCAAACTGCATAGCCTCAGTCACTACTGCCACATCAGAAGTAGATCACAGATCCGCCTTGGGGCTGGGTTTCGATGAGGCCGAGGGCCGCACCCTGAAACGCAAATTCCACATCTGTGCACTCTGTGGTAAGACCTACGGCAAGACAAGTCACCTGACTGCACACCTTCGATGGCACAACAACGAACGACCCTTTCGCTGTGGTTTCAAAACATGTGACAAGGCCTTTACGCGCTCTGACGAGCTCCAACGGCACATCCGTACACATACGGGGGAGAAGCGTTTCGCTTGCAACATGTGCGACAAGCGTTTCATGCGCAGTGATCATTTGAGTAAGCACAAGAAAGTGCACGAGTTGTCGCCGTCAGAGAATCAGGGCAATCCTCAGGCAGCCTCATTGGCAGTCGCGGGGACAACCAAAAAACCCTCCTCCTCCTCCACATGCCCTGCCTGGAGCACCAGTACGTGAGAAAGCCCGAAGGAGTCACCCCAACCGCGATCACTCACGTCGTCCACCTTGGTGGTCCTCACTACCACACTGCAGTCATTCAACTATCTGCCACGCGCTTTCCTGATTACTTTAAATACAACCGAGGAAGGATGCAAGTCGAAGACCTAGATTAGCCTAGACCGGGACTATAGATGAAGAGGAAAGATGGGCAAACCCCAGATAAGCGTATACTTTTGTCCCCCCCCCCACCGCCGTTCCCCTCAGCGGACATACTTCAAAACTGGTGGTTCTGCTCCTTATTTTTTTTACAAAATTCTGCTTTTTCTGTTTGTCTGTTTGGCTATGAGATCAGAGATGCTGATCTAGAGTTATTTATTTTAAAATAAAATCTTGTTTTCAACGATTAATCCTATCTGCCGACTTATAAGCAAAAAGCCAATGTAGACTCAGCAATAGGGGGATATTTAGTGCAATACAAGAGCTTCGAAAAACTGCTTTTAGGTGATATTTTGGCAATTTGGTTATCAGGGCAGTTTTAAATTATGCTAAAAGTTCCAACGGGACATACCTTGAAAGGCCTTGGGCTCCTCTGGAAGGTAGGTAGTTGTTTCGAGGGACACAATGAGGCTGTGAATTAAGGTTGGGTTTATGTGTCCGTTGTTAACCGTGAGAATGGACGATATTGGGGTGTTAGACCTATTCTGGAACTATCAAGCTCTCACGGTCTTTACAAAGTCTGAGTGGACTGAGAAGGCTGAAAAAATATATTTTAGAATGCGTGGGTTTGATAAGATTACCAGTCTTGTAATCCGTTGCCCGGGCTCGTATTTCTTCATGAGAAGTGGAGAAAGAGAGAAGCAGAGAATGTAGAAGTGAAGACTTCAACCCATAGCCTTCCTTCATTAAGTCGCTATTCCCTAGACGGAGTGAAAGCCATTTGTGTCTTTTATCATAGTTCATATGATAACTAACAAGGCATGATCAAAATGAAAAGTCGTATTGGCAAACAATTGTTTTCGGTCATTCATCATCAGGCCGGTATGTGACATGAGGAGTAAAAATGGTCAGTTAATTGCAACGTTTATATAATCGTCAGGTTGGGGGGAGAGAAAGGGGATTAGTAGGTGGGCGAGTGTAATTAAGCATCTGGGTGCGCTCGTGCGGGTAGGACGTTGGTTGCGATGCGCAGAAAAGACAGGGGGGATGTTCTCACGGTCAGCGGGTAGAGGTCTGTATTCCAGCCGCGTAGCTTGCGCTTGGCTGTTCTATGAGGCTTTGTTTTGTGTGTTTTCGGACGAAGTGGCTTCAAGAGGTGCGGGATTTCCGTGTGCAGTCGGCCAAGAGAGGCAGATTGCTTGAACCAGCGCCTTTTGACAGCATAGATTGGGTTTTGCTAACCGGATTGCCACTTTCTCTGCTATGGCTAACACTCGTTTGTGCAGGCCTTTGAAGTAGTGTGTTGGTGTGCGGCATATGGCCCGAAAGGCTTCTTTCGCGTCCACTTGGTGGTTCGTATCAATTAGGTGGGTGAGGATTGAGCTTGAAATCGGTCTATTCTCCCCTTTGGTGAGCCAGGCTGGTATGTGCTCGCGTATTCTCTTCTCCAGACGTCACGTTGTTCGGCCAATATATCCCGCTCCACAGGTAACAGGTGAACGCATAGATGCACATAGATGTGGCCTGAAACGGTAGTCTGTCCTTACCTCCCATTCGTAGAAGGGGACGGTTAGTGAAGAGTACGCGTAAGTTTGCCGCCGGGAAGGCACTCGTGACTGCTGTCCTCAGGCGTCGTCTTACCAGTACACTTGCTGCGTCTCCCATAAAAGGCAGTCTTATGAATAGATCTTTCTTTTCCACCGTTGCAACTGTGGCATTTGTGACACGCTCATTGATGTTCCGAGATTCATCCTTCGCAGAACATAGTCAAAATGTTTACCGTGACCTTTATCGGAAATCCGAATTTGTGCAACAAAACGAATCGTCTTTTTGTCAAAACCCTTAAGAACGGGAAATGACGAGGCAGGAGGCAATCAATTATGCAAAACACAGCCACATCCCGTGATCGTCAGCTCCTGCCTTTGTCTTTAGTCATTCGGATATTTGAATACACCAGAGCTGTTGGACCGAATACATATACGGGAGTAGCAAAGGTAATGGAATATTCAAAAGCATTCACTGAGTCTTCCGAATGTTCGATCCGCATGATATATTCTGTGATGGAAATAACAATGAACTTCCATCTATCTTTTCTTGCCAATTCTGTAGGTGCCGAATGGGTTTCCTTACCAAATTACTGTCTGAAAATTCTTATGTGAGAATTCAGCAGATGACTGGACGATTTCAAGAGATTATCATTGAGCTAACATAATTATGTAATGAGATCGGATTTTGGGCTGTGATTATTTTAGATGCGGTGAAGTCAATTGGAGTGAATAGAGGGATTGTGAAAGTTGGCAGAGACATATAGATAAGGCAGCTGTTGGATTTGTGACTCCATGCCCTCTTCGCAGCATTTGGGTGAACCTAAGTTAACTCCTTTTCCTAATTTAATTATTCGACGTCACTCTTGCCTTAAAAATCGCCATTAGGATTACTGATCGGCTTAATGTCGGGACTAGAGTTAAGAGGTAGAATTAGAAGTTGGGGGTTAGATTTCAAACATAGTTTTAGCACTAGGAGTTGGAATATCAATGTTGTCAACTTCATGTATATCTTCTGTAATGGCAACCACAAGAATCGGATTTAGCGGTTAATACTTCTTACTTGTTTCTTCAACTTAATTGTCCATAATGGACGGAACTCATCGCGTGCGGAATATCTAAACAATGACGTCGGTTTTCCTTTGTCCGCGCGCTCACACCTCCTAATTCCTAGTATTTCAAATTGCGCGCTAGCGCTTTTGCAGTCCATTGGTGTACTTGAACAAGTTTGTACTTTTGCTTCGCGAAAACCGTCACATGTCAGTTTCGTTTTCCTAATATTGAAGCTCATTTAACCACAATTCTCGCACTACAGGAGTCCTTGCTTACCGTTTTCTAAGTGGGCGAAATCTGACCGTTTTCCTAAATCCGGTGTCGCGAAACAGTGAACATTTCACGCGGACCATTAATTACTTGACGCCGCACCCTAACAACTACAGCTTTTACTCGAAAAAAGGGCTAACGAAGCTGCTAAGGGCAGAACTTATCCAAGTGAACTTTTCCAGTTAAGTGAACTATATCAAGTAAAAAAAATTTCGTCGGGATTACGGAGCCGCCCAAATTACCTAAATATATAACGAAGTTGAGGTGTATTTTGACAGTTTGTGCCATAACTGCACTACCAAAGTTAGAAGTCAAAAAGTTAAAGTTAAAACACTTATCTGCAAAAACTTCTGGCTGAAGGGATGTTTTCTAGAGATGTTAATTTCACAATGGTTTGGACTGATTGCGAACTTACTGTGGTAGAAATGGACGTAGTAGTCAAACAAAAAAGATATTCAAGGTCGTGTCTGAAAAGAATATTGGGCGTACCGTTAAATACTCTCTGGAGACATTTGAGCCGAATGAAGTCTGTAAATATATCAACTTGACTTTACTGAGTCATATATGAGCTTTATGAAAGTACTGACTACTAATATATACAGTCCTGCACACAACTTTCATTATGTAATTTAACTTGGTACTTTAGCGTATATCTGAACGGGGTATTTTGATCAACTGAGTGGATTTAATAATAAGAAGGGCTTTGGTTTGGACAACTGCCCTCTTGGTTAAAGGTATTGGGGAAAATAGGCACTCGTTTTGACTAAATCATGAGCAAGCTTATATTAAAGGAATCCCCTATGCTATAAGGAAAGACAGAACCAAACTTTCTTCTAATATACATTGTGTTGTGGAAGAATTCCATAATTAGTAAAA